AAGGCCTGTCTAGCGGCACTTAGTCTCCCCTTGAACTTTGTTACCTCAGGTTGTGGGCGAAAAGCCGTTGAGAGGCCGTTTGGGCTGAAGGCTGGGGAGCTGCGGGGCGGGGGCCGGATTGGCCCTAAGCGGAGAAAAAGGACTTAACTTTTCTCTCAAATTTCGGCAGCCCTGCACAGGGGTGGTTCGGCGTGTTTTCCGCCGGCTGTCCCGGGAAGCCAGCGCCTGTGAGCTTTTGAGATTTGGCCGTTTTTCTAGGACTTTATGCTGACTTTGGGGGACGAGTAGATCTTCTTTTGTTCTTTCTGTTCCTTAGCGGAGGCGGGTGGGGTAAGGAACTATCAAGACTCTCAGACACTGGGGCGCCTGGGTGGCTCAGTCGGTTAAGCGTCCGACTTCAGCCAGGTCACGATCTCGCGGTCCGTGAGTTCGAGCCCCGCGTCGGGCTCTGGGCTGACAGCTCAGAGCCTGGAGCCTGCTTCCGATTCTGTGTCTCCCTCTCTCTCTGCCCCTCCCCCGTTCATGCTCAGTCACTCTGTCTCAAAAATAAATAAACGTTAATTTAAAAAAATAAAAAATAAACAAAAAATAAAAAGACTCTCAGATATTATATAGAATTTTGAGTTTAAAGAACTGATGGACTAGGGACGCCTGGGTAGCTCAGTCGGTTAAGCGTCCGACTGCCGCTCAGGTCGTGATCTCGCGGTTTGTGAGGTGCAGCCCCGACTTGGGCTCTGTGCTGACAGCTCGGACCCGGAGCCTGCTTTGGATTTTGTATCTCTCTCTCACTCCCACTCCCTCTCCCGCTCTCTCTTCCTCTCTTCCTTTCCCTCTCTCCCTCCCATGCTCACACTCTGTCTCTCTCTCAAAAATAAACAGTCATTAAAAAATGTTTTTAAATAAAATAACTAAATAATTAATGGACTAGCTCGATTCATTATAACATTTTTTTGAGATTGAAACTGAGGGCGCCTGGGTGGGTCAGTCGGTTAAGCCTCAGACTTCGGCTCAAGTCATGATCTCACAGTTCATGAGTTCCAGCCCCGATTAAGGCTCTGTGCTGACAGCTCAGAGCCTGGAGCCTGCTTGGGATTCTGTGTCTCCCTCTCTCGCTCTGCCCCTCCCCTGTCTCTCTCTCTCTCTCTCTCTCAAACATTAAAAAAAAAAAAACGGATTAGCTTGATTCATCAGGGAAATACAGATCAAAACCACACTGAGATACCACCTCACACCTGTCAGAATGGCTAAAATTAACAACTCAGGAGACAACAGATGCTGGCGAGGAGGTGGAGAAACGGGGACCCTCTTGCACTGTTGGTGGGAATGCAAACTGGTGCAGCCGCTCTGGAAAACAGTGTGGAGGTTCCTCAAAAAAAATTAAAAATGGACCTACCCTATGACCCAGCAATAGCACTGCTAGGAATTTACCCAAGGGATACAGGAGTGCTGATGCATAGGGGCACTTGTACCCCAATGTTTATAACAGCACTCTCAACAATAGCCAAATTATGGAAAGAGCCTAAATGTCCATCAATTGATGGATCGATAAAGAAGATGTGGTTTATATATACAATGGAGTACTACTTGGCAATCAGAATGAAATCTTGCCATTTGCAATAATGTGGATGGAACTGGAAGGTATTATGCTAAGTGTAATAAGTCAGTCAGAGAAAGACAGATACCATATGTTTTCACTCATATGTGGAACTTGAGAAACTTAACAGAAGATCATGGGGGAGGGGAAGGGGAAAAAATTAGTTACAGAGGGAGGCAGACCATAAGAGACTCTGGAATACAGACAACAAACAGGGTTGATGGGAAGGGCGGGGGAGAGGAAAAAAATGGGTGATGGGCGTTGAGGAGGGCACTTGTTGGGGTGAGCACTAGCTGTTGTATGTAAGTGATGATGAACCACGGCAATCTACCCCCAAAACCAAGAGCACACTGTATACACTGTATGTTAGCCAACTTGACAAATTATATTTAAAAAAATTATAAAGAAGGAATTAATGGACTAGCTTGACTTGTTATAACATTTTTTGAGATTGAAACACTGATTTTGAGGGCGCCTAAGTGGCTAGGTCGGTTGAGCATCCAACTTGGGCTCAGATCATGATCTCACAGTTCATGAGTTCCAGCCCCACCTTGGGCTCTTTGCTGACAGCTTGGAGCCTGGAGCCTGCTTCAGGTTCTGTGTCTCCCTCTCTCTCTCTGTCCCTCCCCTGCTCACACTCTGTCTCTCAAAAATAAAAATAAATATTAAAAAGAAAGAAATGTTGATTTTGAGACTTTGGTGGTAATCGTGTTTGATTAATGACAGTGCAGCCTTACTGGCTTAATGTAAACACATAAAGGAGGCAAAAGAAAATAAAGAGTTAGGTTGAGAACGATCCGTTTGATAATTTGATGAGAGATCTATTCCTTCTGTGGTGCCTGGGTGGCTCAGTCGGTTAAGTATCGGATTTCAGCTCAGGTTGTGATCTGGGCTCATGAGTTCGAGCCCAGTGCCAGGCTCTGTGCTGCCAGCTCAGAGCCTGGAATCTGCTTTAGATTCTGTGTCTCCTTCTCTCTGCCCTTCCCCCAATTATGCTATGTGTGTCTCACCCTCTCTCAAAAATAAACAGACCTTAAAAAATTTTTTAAAGAGATCAATTCCTTCCCTCCTCTACCTGGCTCTCACCAAATCCGGACTGCTCTAGGGTTTTTAAACTAGTTTAATGTTTACACATCGTGATTTTACAAGCGGCTTTTCTGTAAGGCATTTTATAAAAAGCAGGGCATGGACCCAATTCGGTGGTGCGCGATGGGATACAGTTTTGTATTCCCTTCCATCTGGCATTCTCTTCCATCTGGCAACTTTGTGGTCTCTAAAGTTTGATATGGACAGTAGAAGGGCTACTTTTGAGAGTCTGGACAGGAGTTTTAGAAAATGATCAGTATTGACAGTTTTGTTTTGTTTTTTTTTAATGTAAATCTGACTTGTTTTGCTGTGTCGCTTTAAAAAAAATTTTTTTTTTTTTACGTTTATTTATTTTTGAGAGACAGAGTGAGACAGAGCATCAGCGGGGGAGGAGCAGAGAGAGAAAGAGACACAGAACCCGAAGCAGGCTGCAGGCTCTGAGCAAGCTGCCAGCACAGAGCCTGACCTGGGGCTCCAACCCACGAACCGTGAAATCATGACCTGAGCTGAAGTTGGACGCTCAACCGACTGTGCCATGCAGGCGCCCCAACTGTATCACATTTTTTTCTAGTGATTTTGGGGTGAAATGCTGTTTTCACCCTTCACACTTTAGATAAATTGATGGCAAGTGAATGCTCTCCACCTTGAAGGAGAATCTTCAAATTGCTTTTGAAAAATGCCTTTGAAATGTCTTTAATGTCTAAAAAACGTATTATAAAAAAACAGATGGCTTCTTGTTCGTATGTTATTAAGAGTTTAGGTTTTCTATCAGAAAATACAAGTGAGCTTTATTTTAAGTAAACTCATTTTGCAGGACTTTGAATTTAGTGAACGGTATTAATTTGCAACTGCTTCAAGGTTGGACTCTAAGAAAGTGTTGCAGAAACTTTATGTGATGTGAAGAAGTGAAAAGGAACTAAAATTTATGCTGTGCCTGCTGCGAACCAGACATGATGCCCAGCGCCTAACTTTCATTTGGTCTTACACAGCTCTGTAAAGTAGATATTATTCCAGCTTTAGGAGTTAAGAAATCGAGGCACAGAGAGGTTAAATACCTGCTTGAAGCAAAATAGCAAATTTTGCAATTTGGATTTGGATTCAAGTATTTTTTTAATGTTTGTTTATTTTGAGAGCTAGCCAGCCAGCGTGCAGGGGGAGGGGCAGAGAGAGAGGGAGAGAGAATCCTAAACAGGCTTCATGCTGTCAGTGCAGAGTCAGACACGGGGCTCAATCCCACACCATGAGATTATGACCGGAGTCGAAATCAAGAGCTGGATGCTTAACCCACTTGGCCACCCAGGCGCCCCTGGATCCTATTTTTAAAAGCCCAGTTGTTTGTATTATGTCCTAGTATTTAAAATTTGTCTACAAGAAATTGTTGCTACATCTTCAGCGTACAGGTGCAATGTGAATGAAAATTACATGTTGGGACCCCGAATATTTGTTGCCCATGTGCTCCATGACTAATGGTTCTGTTGGGAGGATGTTATGCATACTCAAACAATGAAATAATGATAGCTAACAGTGGGTGCCTTTGCCATGACAGCTGTGGTTTTAAGCACTTGTCATGTTTCAATTAATCTCCATATCTGTATGAGGTCTGTACTATTATCCTCATGTTACAGAGAAGCACAGAGAAGTTATACAGCTAGTCAGTGGAGGAACTGGGACCTAAACCTAGGTATTCAGGCCCCAAGCCTAAGGTCTTAATGCTATTTGATGTTTCCCTTTGTGTAACAATTACCTTAAAACCATTAAAGTGGGAGTGTTCTGGTACTTTGGGGAAGGCAGTGTTAACTTCCAGATGGGATGACTTAGCACCTTTGCTTTGTGGAGATGGAACTTGAGTGGAGCTTTGAAGGAATAGGTTCCCCTAGGTGGAGAAACGGCAGGGTGTTGTGGGTAGAGGTCATGACAGGAATGAGAGGTTCAAACAGTGCAAGATCGATGTTGATGTGTAAATGTGCCACACACATAGAAATGTCTGGAGTCCAATGATGGACTCCATGCGTGTTGCTCCCATGTCTAACTACAGCCAAGTTTCAGCTACAGTGTAAGTAATCCGGTAGGGAATTGTCTGGTTTTAAGAGTCTAACTGCGGTGGCAAACAAACAGGAAGTCATTTATCTTTATTTAAAAAATTTTAACATTTACTTATGAGAGAGAGACAGAGCGCAAGCAGGGTAGGGGGGAGGGCGAGGGAGACACAGAATCCCGAAGCAGGCTCCAGGCTCTGAGCTGGCAGCACAGGGCCCGACGATGCGGGGCTCGAACCCACAAACCGCGAGATCATGACCTTAACCGACTGAGCCACCCAGGTGCTTTTAAAAAGCAGCTGGGAATTATGTTCTCTTGTTCATTTGTTTCTAGCTTTTACTCTGTAGGCTTTAAGTTGTGAAGCATTCGCTTCACAGTTTTGAATTTGTGTTTGATCTTGATTCTTACTCCTCGGTGTGGCAATAGAGCCCTTCGATTTTAAAGGTTTATTCGAGATCACTCATGGAAGAGTTTTGTCACTCTCTAAAATTCAGCCAGGACTCTCAGAGTTGGCATCGGGAGAACAGATCCGTATCAAGTTTGTGAAAAGTCTGTGAAGTAACTTTGTTATGTGTTGCTTTTCAGGAGTAGGTGGTTTGCCAGACTTAGGTGACCAGGCAGTTTCACACATAAACCCTCCAGCAAATTTAGAAGTAACCAGGCCCAGCGCAGAGGAAGTGGAGTGCTGCTGTTGCACAGAAATGTCGAACGGCTCCAGTGAAGTGGATGTGGTTTGTATTTCAAATTGAAGATCTGTCTTTGTTCTTTTCATTCTGCTCTATTTCTTCGCTAAATTGAATTGAAGTTCATTCAGTGAAATGGCAGTAATCACAAGTTCATGAGTTTTGACAGTGATATATAAACCTGCTATAAACATTCGTGTGCAAGGCTTTTGTGAACAGATCCTAGCATTTCTCTTGGGTAAATACTCAGGAGTTGAATTGCTAGCTCATATGGTTAATGTGACTTCATGAAAATCTGCCCCATAGTCTTTCAAAATGGTTGTGTTATTGTATAATTGTGTCACATTGTGCTATGTTTCTTGATTCCTGACGGTAACAATATAAATTATTAAACTATATGTAATTTGGTTTCCCAGAAAAAGCATTTCTTTACTTAAATAATGATGTGGGTATTAATGCCACCTTAGTGCTACGGGCAATTTTTTTAACTTCTATCAGCCCCAATATTTTTTCATAATAATGGTAGATAAAGTTAACTGCCTATCCAGAATGTTTCTCTGGCATAAATATGTGAAATAAACCACTTTGAAAAGCATAAGGTACCATACAAGGTATATTTTTATAAGAACTCCTCTGTAGCCCATTCCATATTATTTTGGTTATGTTTTTTGAAACAGAGACATACACAGATCCTACACATATCTTTATTTTAACATTATTCTTATAGTTTAATTCATTCTTAGAGTACAGTTATTAAATGAAGTGTAATTGTTATGTATCGTATATTCACTTATTTATATCGTGTCCTATTCCCCCCCTAAAAATGTTTTAAGGTGATTAGAGATTAATTTCTCAAGAAAAATAGGTGCTTAAGTGTTTCCTATTTTGTCCACAGAGTGGCACTGTTAGATTGCTTAAAAATCAAAAGTCATGTAACCTGGTTCTTTGTTCCTGGTTAGAAATACTTGGCTTTTACAGCAGTTCCGGTGCCAGGTTACTAGACTAGTCTTTCTACCTTGAGTTACACAAGAGGTTAAGCTGGAAGGGAAATGACGTCTTAAGTGTAGCTGCGGTAATGAGAAAACAGTTTTGCAAGTCCATCTTTTCATGTAGTCCTAGGATTTACAATGGACAAGGGTCCTTGGATATCACCAATAGGCTTTTGGAGCTTCTTAGAAGTGAAATTGAAGTCCTCAATTTTTCTTTCAGTTCTATCTTTCACCTTTCCTCTTAATTTGTTAATAAATCTTCCTTAGAAAAGAACACGAATACCTGCTTATGATGATGATAACACTGTTCTTTATGCATATGAACCACATACTGCATATGTCCATAATGTAAGTAATGTTAATCGCCATTTGCCAAATATATTAACATGTGTCCATTTTATTTATTTATTTATTTTGAAGTATATTTATTTATTTTGAGAGAGACAGAGACAGTGTGAGCAGTGGAGGGGCAGAGAGCAAAAGAGAAAGAGAGAGAATCCCAAGCAGGCTTTGCACTGTTAGCACAGAGTCTGATGCAGGGCTTGAACTCAGGAAACCCTGAGATCATGACCTGAGCTGAAACGGAGAGTCAGACGCTTAACTAACTGAGTCACCCAGGCACCCCAACACGTGACCATTTTAAAGGAAAAGGTTTAAATTTTTCATATACTGTAGAGTTCCTCTAAACTCACACTCAAAAAAATATTGGTCTCTCCTGAATTTGCTTCCTTAGCTAGTGAGGACTTAACCATTTAACTTCCCTTTCCTTATGGTAGGACGTTCAGGGCAGTTTGTACTCATTTTCAGTATAAAACCCTAAACCTAGGTCCTTATGATATAATAAATTCTTTCCTTACTTCCTGTCTTACTTAGTTATATTTCCACTCACATATTAATGTTTTTATTCTATTTTGTCTCTGCTTTAGATTAAGGCTTCTGAAACCTTTTGAAAAGTTAGTGAAAATAAAAACAATTTAAATAAATGTAAAGTGGGTTTTTTTCCTCCTAGTATTCAGTTTGACTCTTATAAAAGTAAAGCATTAACTACTTAACTTTTCAAATATTAGCAGGAAGCTGTTCTATCTGACACATCCTACAACGAAGAGCAACAAAAAACAGTTCAGGACGTCCTTACTCATTGTGAGGTACAAAACTTCTGTCTCTCAAATGTACTTTTCTGAAATACTAAGTTGAAATTCTCTTTATCTCATGTAAAGTATACAATTAATTGTAATTTTGCTTTATCAGATTATTTATGATTATCACTCCATTGTGATGATTTTTAACAATTTCTAGTTAGAAGAGCGTCTCCAGGTGAAAATTTTGAAATACCAGTATGTACATTTTATAGCTTTGCTTTTAAAGCCCTTAACTGGAGAAATCGATGTTATGTTACTCAATATTGAATTAATTTCCCCTACAAAATCTTGAAAAGAAATTGTCTGCTATGGATAAAATTTAGTGTGTGCCTAAATGTATTGTTGAGATATCTCAATTGAGAAAGTGTCAGCTCACCATTGTTTTTTAAAAAGTGTATCTTACATAGTTTCGAGG